TGCGTTTTTGCTGGCTGTAGCAGCGCTGCTGCTATAGCGCTGCACAGCAAAAACGCATAAAAATGGGTATTGGCCACGAGGTCTGTTAGATGTCTTCCCAAAATGAGCAGAATGAACTTCCTGAACCGCTGTTTTAATAAAATGCGGTGACACTTCATCAGTATCTGAATCGAAAACCTCCAATTTGAGGTCAGTTTGCGAGAGCAAAGCTTTGGGATTTTCTTCTACGGTTCCGCATTTCTGGAAATTGCGGAACCGTAGAAGAAAACCGCAAAAAGCACTGCGGAACCGCGAACCGCAAAATTGCGGAACCGCAAAAAGCAACAGGCCGACATATTTTTTGACCTGCTTATGTCTGTAATTCAACTGTGCGAATCTGATTACCAAGACCTTGGTTGAGCTGTGTAATTTTGACAAGTCTCCAAGAACCGCGAGGCATTTTTTCTTCCTTAAGAAGTACAACCTCACCAATTCTAGGTGGCTGAAGGGTTTGACTATGAGGCCCTTTAAGGAAGCGCTGTGTACGTTCGCGAAGCATATTCAGGTCCCTCTTTGCCAAAACTTCCAAAAGATAGCTAAATACTGCTGTGTTCTGCTTCATTGCAACAACAGTTTTTTTCGATTACTTAGCCCAGCTGGGTCAGCCTTTGCGGTATCCCTTCCGAGGGCATATCAAGAATTAGAGAAGCCTTTGGCAACAAAAAATCAATCGGTCGCAAGATATCCTTGAATTGCTTGATGACAATGTTCATTTATTGTTCCTTCTACTTCTGATAACCATGTTTGCAACTCTGAGTCACTAACTTCTCATCGACCAATTGCGCGACCAGAGAATTTTTTATTATACCTCTCAGGCGTTCATAAATACCACCTTTCCAAGGGGCCAAGGTTCCAATGAATTTCCACTCAATCATCTGACGACTTGCGAAATTCTTAAGCGTTTCTAAAGCTTTGGTTGTTAATGCAAAATTGGATGCATTGTCGGACAGCATGGTACGCGGTGTCCCGCGTCGTCCGATAAATCTTCGCAAGCAGTCGATGAAGCTATTTGCTGAGAGGTTATCTGCCATTTCCAAATGAATTGCTCGAGTTGTAGTGTAGGTAAATAAGGCAACCCATCTTTTTATCATAATCGTACCACTAAACACGTTTATCGGTCCGAAGTAATCTACAGCTGCCGTGCAGAAAGCGTGCCCTGGTACTACGCGACATTCCGGCAACATAGGCATTTCGGGGAGCTTAAAGGTTCTGCGGTCTACCGACGACAGTACATGCACATCCTCTGCATTACTAGTTTTGTTGTACGGCGCCTGTGGGGGGTCCAATATAATTTGCAAAATTGAGCTAAGGTTGTTGGAACACCACTATGCAGCAGCGACTGATGTGCATGTAAAAGTAAAAGCTGTGTTATTCGACTCTGTCGCGGTAGAAATATTGGATGTTTTTCTTGCTGTGGCAATCTCGTTGTCGTAAGACGACCGCCACAGCGCCAGAGTTTGTCCTCATCTAGGAATAAATCCCGTTTAATCACTCCTTTTTTGCTGATGTGGCGCTGTGCTTGGCGAAACAAACAGTTTTGTGTAATCTTCCGATCTTTTACTTGGAGTGCCCCAGACTTAGAGATAGGTGCAAACCAAGTAGCAGGCGCGCGTGCGATCTTACGGAGGAAACGCAGTGCATATGCAGTTATGTCAATAAGCGTATTCCACGAACTGAAACGTTCTTCATCAATTAAGTAAAACGTCGAAAATGTGTTCGCACCTGCTGGATTAACGCTGCATGAAATTTGAGTAGGATCACTAACAGCTGCAGTGATAAACTGCTCTGATTGAATGGGATCCGTTTTGGGTACTTAAAAACAAGGCCAATTTGAGCGAGCTTTGGAAAACCAATCTGGACCGTTTCACCACCGGACTGATGCGGAAAGCATCGATGGAGACAGTCCGCGTGTTGCCAGGTGTGCTGGGTTCTCAACAGTGTTAATGTACCTGTATGTAACATTTGCTACTTTTTTTATCTCTTTGAGGCGATTTTTAACAAACCGTGGTAAACGGTCATCGATTTTTGCTTCGATCCAAGAAAGAACGCATTTGCTATCGCACCATAAAGTAAAATGCATATTACTTAAACGAAGCTGTTTCACAATAAATTGGGAAATTCCAACACCGATCAAAACTCCTAAAAGCTCCAAGCGGGTATGGTCAAACCTTGAATTGGAGATATGCAGCACTTCGAAATAATGAGCGAACTTGGAGAAGCATTGTCAGTTCTTGAACGCGCATAAACAGCTACGCAATATGCGCGAGACGAGGCTGTAAAAATGTGCCATTCAAGCTCTTCAGTACAAGCCCTACGCGGCACTGAGAAGGACTATGCTTTCCAATGAGACATCAACTCGTCCCATTCCTGCTGCTACGCCTTCGAAACCTGTGCGTCCCAAGACCTTTCTTCCCTAGCGATCTTTTGCAAGAAAATCTTCAAAAGAAGCGTCGATGGCGCTAGCAACCCTAAGGGGTCAAAGTGTCGCACAAGAAATCTAAGAACAGTTCGTTTACTCAGCGTTTCTTTAGGAGGAGCAAGCGTTTTCACTGTGAGCGTATCGTCAGAGACGTCCCATAATAGGCCAAGGACTTTAACGTTCTGCTTGGGATAACGGCCCTCATGTTTAATCTTCTCATTGACGAATATGGAATTTGAAATGTAATCGCGTAAATTCACCCTAGCTGATAAAAAAATTTGTTTCGATTCCTGATACGCTTTGAGTGCTTCCTCTTCTGTTTCCAAAAGTAACAGGGCATTGTCTACATAAATATTGGCCGCTATTTTTGAACTCCAGCGAGAGCTACATTGCGAAAGATGATGTCGAATGACAGAGGCGAGTAAGAAGGGCGATGATACGGCTCCAAAAAATATTCGACAGAAACGATAGCTGATGATGCGATTGGTTTCCGAAAGTAGTAATTCTAGGTTGCTAATCCAAAGGAATCTAGGGACATCTCGGTCTTTTCATTCAAGGCAACTTGCAGAAATGCTTTTTCCAAATCGGCGATCATTGCTATTTTCAGTAATCGAAAACGTAGAAGGTTCCCTACCAAGTCCGGCAAGAAAACCACTCCCCGAAAGAAATTGTCATTTAACGATTTTTTTGGCAAAGAGCTTGCACTTCCATCGTAAACTACTCGTAGCTTTGTGTGCTCATGAGTTTCCGAAAAAACTGGCTGATGTGGAATATAATTTACGAACGGCCCCGTAGGTTCGAGCGGAACTAACTCAATGATTTCCTCTTGAAGCTGCTGCTGAATAATTGCGTTATACTGTGTCATATGTTCAGGATGCATCCTAAGGTGTCGTAAAACAGATTTTAAACGTCCAACACACAGTCCAAAGTTATTTGCTAAATCTGGCTGTTCTGACCTCCAAGGCCATCC